GTGCTCTATATATGTAAATAGCTGCTCTAGCTCGTCTTGGAGACTATACTGTGTTATCACAAGCCTTTGATCTAGCGCATAGTTTTAACATTGTTAGCACAGACCGAGGCAAAAAGGTCGTTATTGCGGCTCAAATGGGAATGGGTCATAGTATTGATCACGGTAACACATGATCACCTTTAAAACTGAAAGCCCAAAAATTTTTATTATTACGTGGACCCAAGGTCTGGTACAGTATCGGAATGCCACTACTAACCCAGATAACTCTAACCTCAAATCGGACAGATTTAGAAATTAAGTCAAGATAACTGGTAACGGCTATTGCAATTTAATAAAATACAATATGTTTGTGTTTATGACAAAGAAGTCCCTATTTACTTAACAGAAATAAATGAAATACGGATCTCTCCATGCCGAATGGTCTAACCCGACAAGATTTAGAATAGTTTTTAATTTAAAAAAACGGCGTTCAAGATTCAGACGTGAAAACACAACATATTTGCTTTCGTGAAAACAATTGAATCATAATGACGGAAATAGTTACTTTTTATATTTTCTCAGCGTAACAATATTAACAACATAAAGACTCCGCGTTTTCCTCTACTTAATAATTAATACATATCATAAGCATATGTGAAGCTGATTGAAGACTAACAGCCTCTCGTTTGATAGTTTCGAAGCTAATAAATTTGACCACAAGATTGGAAGTTGCGGGCATTGACTACCCCCGTTTTATGGTCAGAGTTCTCAAATATAATTAGTATATACATATTTCCAATTTTGGTTTCGATTTATTTTAAACATTATTGCAGTGTGCTTTTGATATTGAATCATAAATATTGCTCAAGGTGAAAAGCGTCGTGATGTCCATTACACGCTTAGTCACCAATGATATATACAAAATCCAGATAAAAACACTACGTTTTTTTTTACCAGATATTTCCAATGCGTTCTTTTCACATGGAGTTACACCTGCTTGGCAACAACAAAGCTGCCTATTCACCTCTTATCTCTGTGTAGCTCTCACGTGCCCTTCCGTTGACATCGCCATGGAAACAGATGAAGTAATTTCGATCTTTTTCCCCCCTCTTCTTTCTCTCTTGTTTGTCATATCTATAATACTAGACGACAGCGGAATACAATTGTGTGTATATCGGTGCTAACCAGGGTGTGTGTGCTATATTTCGCTGTGGGTATTTATCTAACACATAATATGATAAATACTATTATATTTTTTCCTGGAAGTAAATTTGAGATACGAAAGCAAAAGATAATGCTCACAAACCAGGCAAGGCTATACCCTGAATATAATTACAAGTTTTTAATTTACACAATGAAATTCACACAGTCTAACCATTGATTTTAACAAAATCGTGTTGAACTTCTAAATTGATGTAAATATGAATAAATTTAACACATTAGGGGGTCCTGATTGTATCTGGTATAATGCTGCAGTAGTAGAAGGTAGAATACATAACTAGGGAACAAACGACGATGCTTTACCCATCATCGCGTGACAACAGGGCAAAGCGAGGATGTGCACAATAATGGGCGCGAGACGTATAGTCGATCCATTATTCAAGCGAACAACCCCGCCCGAGTCGTGTTCTTATAATATACATGTAATATACTAGTATATGGTAGAATATATTAATACAAGGATCTGGTAGAGTACATTTAACACCATTATCTGGTATAATACATACATACTACATAGTAGTATATGGTAGAGTCAATTACATAGAAATATTACTTTGTAGTATACATATTACAAACAGACCTTACTTTCTAAGGCGAGTGATCACTCCACCTTTAACTCTTCCAAATGCAGGCACAAACGAGCTATATATCAATCTCCCAATTCAAAAAATTCTAAAGGGATTTTTAATACTCGCCCAATCACTCGTTTTTAGCTTCCGTGACAATTTCGAACGGCAACGCCTATAGGTGGTATTTAATAGAATATATTGCATACCAGTCATATGGTAGAATACTGTGTAGCAGAATTATATTTGCACCTTCGTGCGTTAATAGCAGTATTCGTGGCACATACCCTCAGCAATTCCAGGTGTTCTTAGATTAACTGAACACGAGTAAATAAAAAGGCAGAAGACAGGGATAAACTGGGCACATTACCACTCCCAGTTGGTACGTTAAAATAAAAATTATAAAACCACCTACGGGAAGGCACATTGATTGTGAACCATATCTGAAATCATTTCAACTAAGAAACTAAAGGACAACATCAAAAGATCGATCTGACAAAATTGATTTTATTTCTCAATGAGTCCTTTTTATTTGTCTTCAATTGTTCAATTCTTTTAAATATTGTTTGTTTTATTATTTGACACGCACACAACCTTTCTCGGAAACTGTTTATTGTGATAAAAACCATTTTAGATTAGGCGGCAATTTATTATTTTTTAGTAGGGCGATGAATGTATCTGGGTCCCGGTTTTTTGTTGCTGAATTTAGCTTTTTACATGTAAAGTTGTTTGCGCACCTCCTTGTCTTGAGACAATCCCCGATGTTATTTCCCGCATTAAGCAAGTGTTCAACTGTATATTATATAGCCCGGGCAACACTTTCGACCACTTCTCCCAACAGCTAGGCACGATTACTGTATAGAAAGTCCTGGGTAGTTCAATCAATCGTGGAGAATAATAAAATTACATTCGCTGTTTAAAAATTTAGAGTAAATACACATTTCTACCCGAGGCGCTGGAGGTTGTAATGT